TCAAGTTGACAAGTCCATGACATTCCTGATTCCAAACAATTGTGGAATCAGGACAAATTGTCCACATAAAGTCTAAGGACAGAACCTGCTGCTGCATGTCCATGATCTTTCAGCCTCTGTAATGAATGAGAAACAGCAACGCTTTCTAGAATACAGCCACATGAGCTTAGAGTTCCTCTAGAAATCATTGCGACCACAGAGTGCATAAAAGGAGACCCGTAGATCAATACTGTGCCCCGTGTGTAGTGGACTGACCTGCCTGTGGCCAATATCTGACTGCTCCGTTCTGCTGTTACCACCTTCTCAGTACATCCAGGCTGAGCCCCCTACCAACAAGTCCCTGTCCAGCCTGGTGGTCCAACTGCTCCAGTTCCAGGAGGAGGTGTTTGGCCGACATGTCAGCAACCCCCCACTCACCAAACTGCCTGTATGTCCCTCTGTCAACTCTGTATAAGCCTCATGTGATTAAATCATATCTGCCTTTTTGACTAAATAACTTTACATCTGCTCTGTTTTTTTGTTTTTGTTTTTGTTTTTGTCTGCAGATGAAATGTTTTCTAGACTTCAAGACAGGGGGCGCTCTCTGCCACATACTGGCTGCTGCCTACAAGTTCAAAAGCGACCAAGGATGGTAAGACCTTCTTTCTAGCTGGTTCAGAGGCAAACAAAATTTAAAAAAACACACAAAAAAAAACATGCTGTGATTGAAGGTACAGCTCCCAAAAATGTAGCTCTGTTGCTGTTTCATGTGTAACTCCAGTCTAATTTCCTGGTAGGCGCAGGTTTGACTTCCAGAACCCTTCAAGAATGGACAGAAACGTAGAGATGTTCATGACTATTGAGAAGTCATTGGTGCAGGTAAGTGTGTCTAAATTTATTTTTAGAGTTGATCCAATGTCTCTAACTGCTACATTTTTCTTGACCTCTGTGACCTCAGATCTTCCCTAATACTGAATAACAGTTTAAACATTACAAATGCAGAAAGTATGCTATTGTAATGGAATTAATATAGTTGATTTTAATATTTTTTCTTACAGACACTAGAGCCAAAATGTGGGCGTTTTAAATGTGTCTAATTGTTATGTAATTTGTATATGAAGATGTCATCAGCATTACAGATTTGAAATGTAAAGGACATCGAGTCATGTGACCTGTCCAAATCCTTTTTTAATTTAATTTTGTCCTTCAGTTACACCACAAGATCCTCCCACTCTCAGCCAATCAGAGTTATTAAGACAACATGAAGGATAATTTACATGAACCCTGTGGCATACACGACTGAGGGCATTTAATTGTCATGGTGTAATTAATTCCACAGACATGCCTTATATTTTTACCCTGCAGAACAACTGCCTCACCAGACCCGTCATCTACCTGAGCTCTGACATCGAACCAAAACTGCTTGGAAAACTCAAAGACATCATCAAAAGACATCAGGTGTGTTTCATTTAACACAGAGAAATGTGTTACTTAGAATATTGATATGTTCAGATTGATTGGAGTCTCAGCTCAACGTGGAAAATTGCCGATAAGATTTGTTTAGTTTAGTCTATTTAAAAGGGGACAGTGCAATTTCATAAAACACATGATTACACAAGGTTAAAAAAGCCAGAGTTAAAATAGTTGAAATATAAGCATTTTATGTTTGTTTTTTTTTCTCAACATTTTAAGTTGAGCTAATGGCAGAAAAGGTTTATATTAAGATTTGACTACACGAAAACGTATCTTTAGAAAATGTATCTTAACCATACTGATATATATGTATATTGAAATATGTCAAAAGCCAAATGTATTCTGGAAAAAAAAAAA